CACTTGCGGTAGTTTTTATTGGAAACATATTTTCGATGAACAATGATCATTACAAGCGCAACTGTTGTCAAGTATTCCTCCACGCCATTGGGTCTAAGACTTTTTTCCTCATTTAGATTATTTTCTTAAGAAACAAAAGAAAAAAAATGCCAATAACAGGTCAGGTCAGCTTTGATATTAAAGTTCGTAGTCTTCAACGTTCATAATATGAAATTCATCGAAAATACAAAACGATATTATTGTCACTATCATAAGACTAAGGTTGTGCAATAAATTATACATATAAATGGTTTAGTACTGCTAAATATATATTTCAATCTTAAGAATCCAAATATATCAGTCCATGAGCCATGAATAAAGTCGAAACTTACATTGTTGTTCATTTCATATTATTGGAATTGTCGTCTTCTAAGCACTTGCATTTGAAATGCATTGGACTCGAGCAAGTGAGAATTTAATTTACTCTAAGAATCACGAATAAATTAAATCGGTCGGACGACCTATCTTAATTGTAAGTTGATAAAGAACATTTTCTTCATAACTCTATCAAGCAATCAAGATAGGTATTTATTTAATTTATTTTTTATTACCAACAGTACTTATAGATGCAAGATATATATAAGAAAATAGATCCATGTTTTCATTTCACACCCATTTGAAGATATATAAAACACAATTTTGAAAAAATAAATAGGGAAGAGGTAGAAGACAAATAGATCATTCATCAGTTGCAGAGAAGCTGACGAGCTCGAATGGTGATCTGTAAGCGAGCGAGCGTGTGCATGCAGTGCAAAGCTATACGTGCTTGTCTTCGAACACACATCCCTCGAACAAGTGCTTGTAGCTTTATAAGGCTTTTCAGTGCTCGAAATGCTTGTCTTGCCTGACAAAGAGATGTTAAGGGTAAGTCTCATATGAAAACACTAATAAAGTATGGACTACTTCTCTGAACAATGACTTTTAAATGTAATGCTTAGTCTTAATATAATATCATAGCACAATAAGTCCAAACAAGTGTCTAAAACTCAAACACGCAGTTGAGTTTCAAGATTAGTTTGCTTAAACGAGATACCGGATTGTAGGGCATGTTAATGTTAAAATTTATGTCCGTCAGATACGAGAACCCTAACAGATATATAAGAGTTTGACTATTATCTTAAAAAAATTAACTTTTTAAGAAGGAACGTTGAAACTAATTAATTAGTTTATATATACCCGTTTGAACCCCCATTTTTTCGGTGAAAATGTATTTTGGAATAGTATTTTAATAAAAAATGTGCGGTTAAAAAATAAGAAAAAGTTTTGAATTTGCATGTAATATTATTTTATTAAAAAATGTGGTTGAAAAGAAGAGAGAAAAAAATGTATTTTAGAAATAATGAGGATCAAACAAGGGCATAATAAGAAAAATGGAGTGTTGAAGAGGAAGAAAAAATATGCAAAGAGAAATATTGTTAAGGGTATACAAGATGACCCCTGAAATATGCTTGGATTGTGATGGCTGCAAATTCTTCTCTGGAGAGAGATTCCGAAACGGCATTCATGGTGCATTCGCTGCTGGATCCCCTTTTTGCTTCGCCAAAGCTTCCAGTACTAGAGGTGTTATTTGTGTAGAGAACGATGCCGCTTTCCTGATGAGACGAAACGAACAGTTTTCGTCGGAAAACGCGAAAACCGAACCAGTTATTCCGGGGTATTCCCATTTTTGTGTAGCTATTTAGCTTATATTGGCTTGAGCCAATTCGATCAAGATCGATCTGGGAATGAATATTAAAGCAATTACACAACAATATAAGAAGTGGTATTAGAATCTGTATGTGGGGAACATGTTTAATTTAGAACGTGCAGGGATGGAAGTTCTAACAATTTGTTTAATTGATATATATATATATATTAACCATTAGGACCTTGCACTAGGGAAAACTATACTTGAGATCAGTTGGGTAATTTAAGTTATATTTTTCATCTTTGTAGCCAGTACATGGAAATAATCTGTTTGACCGTCAGAAATTCAAATTTTGTGTTAAAATACATTCAAGCATCATCAATAGACTTTTTAGGATTAATAGCAGAAAACCTCCCTAAAAATGTTTTCATATGCAATATACCTTCTGTCTATTAAAAATCGCAGAAAATTCTCATATTTGAAACTTTTTGTGTGAAAAATTTCCCTGCTGTCAAGTTGTGTCAAATTTTAAAAAGGAATAATTGCAATTTCATTACTCAAATTTTTTATTTTTCACAAATTAAATCCAATTTTTTTATA